AAAAATCCTATTATCATGAATAAGGGGGAGTGTGGGGTGGGGACCCAAAGCCCATCTGTAGGTAACTGGACACCCCCTTACTGAAGGGTCGCAGGAAGGAGACAAGCCAGTCAGGGTGCAGTGTAGCAATGATGAAACATACAACTTTCCTCTAGTTCCCCCCACTATCATGATCCCAAGGGAGGGGAAAAAATGAAGAGCTGATACCAAGGGCTCAAGTAGAAAGTAAATGTTTTGAGAATGATGATGGTAACAAATGTACAAATGTGCATGACACAATGGATATATGTATGGACTGTGATAAGAGTTGTACGAGCCCCCAATAAAATGATTTAAAAAAATCAACAGTTTAAAAAACACACAAATAAATGAGTAAGCATTTCTCCAAAGAAAATATACAAATAATCCACCTGCATATGAAAAGCCGCTCACCCTCAGCCATTACAGCAATGGAAATCAAAACACAAGGGGTCACCACTTCACAACTTACACACCAAATAGCCCCAAACAAACAACAAAAACCAGGGTGTGCAGTCAATTCGGTCACAGTGACCCCATTGGACAGAAGAGAGCGGCCCCACAGGGCTTCCATGGCGGCGACACCCCGTCTTTCTCCCATGGAGCCCCTGGTGGGTTCACCCTGCCATCCCTCCGACCATCGGAGTGCAACACTTCACCACTGCACTAGAGGCTCCGCCAGCAGCCATCTGGATGGCTTGAAGGTTTGGCGAAGAAATGCAGAAATTAGAACCCTCCTCCGGTGCTGGGGGGAATGCAGAATGGTCCAGCTGCTTCAGAAAACAATGTCAGAGTTACCATGTGACACAAGACTTTAACTTCTTAATAAAAAGCCCCCATCAAATCCACTACCAGGGAGCGTCAATGCTGACTCTTGGCAGGCCTGTAGGCGAGAACAGGCGACACAGCTTGACAGGAGGGGACAGCCTGTGCTGTCCCTCTCTCCTGAGGAATGGGTGGCTGGTGGGCTGGAACTGCCGACTCCATGGGCAGTAACTCCCTCTACCTTTTTCATTTCTAGGGGCACAGAATGCAGAGCCGCACAAATCCTTGCCCATGAACATTCACGGCCGTAGATTCGTCACAGCCCCCAACAGGAACCACCCAAAGGGCCGCCAACTGAGGACTGAAAGGTGGCACACGATTCAATGCTACTCGGCTCTGAGTACTGACATGTGTTACAACATGCAAGAACCATGAGAATAGCATGCCGAATGACGGGAGTCCGTCACAAAAGACCACGCCCTGTCATGTATGATGTCCCATCGTGTGAAATGACTAGAACAGGCACGCCCCTCGAGATAGCAAGCAGATTAGTGATTTCCTAGCCTGGTGCAGGTTGGCAGGAGGCCTTCTGGCGCTGTTAGGTGAGCAATGCTAACCTACCAAGGTGGATAGTTCAAAGCCACCAGCAGCTCTGAGGGGGGAAGACGAAGCTACCCGCTCCGTGAAGATCTACAGCCTCAGAAACCCTGTACATGAGTTGGCACCCACCTGATGGCAGTGGGTCTGGTTTGGGTTTCTGGTTGAGGGGAGTTGGGGGGGAGTAGGAAGTAACGACTGATGAGGATAGAGCTTATTTGGGGGGGTGATTACAAAAGGTTCAAAAACTGATTGTGATGGTGGGCACGCCATTCTATGAAAATGCTCAACATCAATGAACTGTATGCTTTACCTAAGTGAGCAGTGTGATCTGTGAATTGTATCTTGGTAAAGTTCTTACCACACACACACACACACAAAACCCCAACCCAAACCAACAAAACTCTACAAGGTTCCCCACCGACTGAAGGGCCCTTCATGGTCTGGCCCCACCCATGTCGCCAGTCACCAAGCTCCACCCCTTCCATCCCGCTCCCCCACTAGTCACACTGGCCTCCCCTTTCCCAGGACTGAACACCCCACGCTTGGTCCTGTCTCCCTCCCAGCTCACACACTTGTGACTCCTGGTTGGAACACTCTTCCCCATCTTTTTTTTTTTTTTTTTGGTCTACTGCTTCTTCTCCTTCAGAGAATCCCTCCACTAGCTAGTCTGCCTGAGCAATCAAAGGAGGGTCTGATAAACAAACAAACAAAACTCAAACTCCCCGCCACTGGGTGGATGCCGACTCACAGCAAGCCTAGGGGACAGGGCAGAGAGGGTGCTCCCGAGTCTCCGAAACGGTAGCTGTGAAAGGGAGTGAGCCAGCCTTGTCTTTCGCTCGAGGAGTGGCTGGTAGTTCCCAACAGTCGACCTTGAGGACCACAGGCCAACATGTAACTACTATGTCACCAGGGCTCCAACTTACTCTCCTTTCACACATCCACTGGGTGTCCTTCACCTCTGCCTGGCCCCCTCTGGCCTGTGCTGGCCCCATCCCAGCTCTGACTGCTGTGCGCTGTGTTCTCCTCAGCAGGGTTCCGATCCGATGAGCCTCGGGGTTCCTCCACCCCAACCTGCACCCCCTGCTTGTCATCCCCTCCCCAAACCACTCTGCCTGTGCCCCCCAGTCTCTGTCCTAAACTACAGCTGGGGCCTTTCAGGACAGGGCACAGTGAGTCTCCGGAACAAATGCATGGGTGGCATCCCCTCTCTGCCTTGGGCCCTTGGGGCCACGTACCGACATACATGACCGTGCCCCGGCGAGAGGGCAGGCTGGGCGCCTGCACCTCACAGCGGCTGCCCACATGGATGGCATCAGCCTGGAGCCTCTCCTCTTCGAGGCTCTGGGTGGCCTCGGCCTCCCGCTGGGCCCGCTCCTCTTCATTGTAGCGGCCCAGCTTGCTGCGCTTCAGGAAGGAACGGACAGAGTCTGTGGCAGGGCAGGAGAGAGGGGTTAGACACGGTCCCTGGCTGCGGCACTCTGGCCCACCCATTCCTAATGAAACTCTTCAATCCAAGGGTCAGAGAGCTTGCCTAGTGCTCCCACCACTGCCCCAGACCCTTCCTTGGGTTCCTTCCCGGGGTATGGATTCTAAAGGGATGAGGGATGACAACTGCCCCTTCCGTCTTGAAGCTCCCTTCATCCAGCCTCTGTATCCCACTGTCCCAGCTATTCCCCCATACACATGTGATCTGTCCCCACATGCCAACACTGGTCATCTGTCTGCTCCACATACTCTACCATCCACCACACGCCATCCCCCAGGTCCTAGACCACCGCATCCCTCCTCTGCTCTCTCGTGTTCCAACAGACGCCAATGCCAACCAGCCCACATTAGCCTCGCGTGCTCTGTCTATGCAAGCCTCACCCTCAGACCCCCATCAGTTCATCCCTGTCCCCAAATCCCACCCCACCCCATCCTCCCATGCCTCTGTCTGCCTCAGCTGTCCAATCACTAACCTTCCCAACATGCCAGTCTGCTCCCACACAGCCACAGGACCACATGCCCTCTGGTCTCCACAAGCCCCACCCTTGCCCCTGCCCCCTGTACCTTGTCTCTGGTCATAGGCTTCTTGTGAGAGCTTGTATTTCTCCACCTTGGACACATCCTCATACTCCCCAAGGCGGGCACCGCTGTGGTCGATGACCTGAGGTGAAGGGAGGAGAGGTCACTGGGGATGAGGCCTCCCAACCCGGGGAGCTCCTCCTGCAGGGCCCTGTCACGTTTTTTCACGGGGTTATGAACTGGCTCACATCTATTCCACACAGGCAACACGGGCCTCTCAGACTCGGCTCAGAGGTATATCCCTGGCACAACACAGATGCTCAACCCATCATCCATTGCCGTCAAGCGGCCACAAGTCAGAGCAACCCAATGAGGCAGCGCAGAACGGCTCCCTCTGGTTTCCAAGACTGTCACTCTTTCTGGAAGCAGACAGTTTCACCTCTCTCTCTCTGATAGCCTGGTGGGTTGGAATCACCAACCTTGTGACTAATGTTTAATCCACTGCACCAACAGGGCTCTTCAGAGGCTTGATCGTTATCCAAAAAATGAGAGAGAAAAGGAACCCATTCTTTGGGCACACTGGTTCCCAGAGTCAGGCCGAATGAAGTCAAAATGATCGCTTCAGCTTGCCTTCAGGAACATGAATTCTCTCCTAAGGCTGCTTTCTTCGAAATGGGCTCCTGTCTAGGCTTATTGACAGGTTCGACTCATCAGTCAACCAAGCTTCACAGGGTTTTCTTTCCATTGGGGGACTGTTCCATGTGCTAGGAATCCACTCTGGTGTGTGGGTGTTGGGAAGGTTGTGGGGGGGAGATAGACAGTACAGCAACCCAAGGGGAAAACTCATGAGCTCTGGTGGCATAGTAGGTTAGGCATTGGGCTGCTAACTACAAGGTCAGTGGTTCAAATGCACCAGCTGCTCTGAGGGAGAAAGATGAAACTTCCTGTTGCCATCAAGATTTACTGCCCTGGAAACCCACAGCAACAGTTCCCTGCCCTATAGGGGCACTAAAGGCCAGCACTGACACGCGAGCAAGGAGTTTAAGGAGAAGGCAGAAGGTGTCTTCAGTCTCACAGAACTCGGGGCAAAAACCCCCTAAAGCAAAGCAGCGCTTGACTTAGAAAACGGCACTACGATGAGAGTGGAAAGAAGGGGTGAGTTAGATGGGATCGAAAGAAGAAGCATCATCAACTGACAGTGACTGCCCAACCCATTTTACAGGTGAGTTACCCACGGAGGGTGGGGTGTCTAAAACGGCACGGTCACGATTGTGCAACTCTTCCTTGGTATGATCGAACGATGGAATGATATATGTCGGTGATGTGTCAATAAAACCGTTAAAGGGAAAAGAACCACCTGGGCTGAGGTAAGAGGAGCACAGGCAAAAGCCCTGGGGCAGATGCTGCTGGGCTGCCAGAACAGTAGTGAGGCTGGCGCTCCAGTGCATCCCAACTGCTCCCACCTCAATGCTCCCCTAATCCTCCTCCCACCCTGACTCTATTCCCTCCATGTGGCATGTCCTTCCCCTGCTTCTACCAGAGGTCACCAGTCCTCAGCCTTCAGATCTCAGCTCAGACATCCACTCATCTGGGAAGTCCTCCCGGCCTAAGAGCCTCCAGGTGGGGTAAGCACTTTCTCTGGGCACTCAGATCTCCTGGGTTCCCCCAGCTCACCGAGGGCTGTCACAACTTGGTGATGAGCCTGTCTCTCTCCCTGTTGGACTGGGGGCCCAAGGGGGCGGGACCTATCTTGGTTCGAGCACAGTAAGTATATGCTGGCTTAATAAGTGAATGGACAGCAAGTATAGGCTCACGTGGATGCGACACCCATCGTCCACAGGGTAGGAGCCCAAGAGGGCGTCTTCCTGGTCCAGCTTGCTGTAGAACTTGTCGTCAGCGCCATAGAGCTCCAGTTCCATGCATGACGCCGGGGTGCCCACCACCAGCTCCAGTTTACACTGTGGGGCGGGGGCTGTGTTAATGGCAGGGCTGGACCAAGTCCTGGCCCTAGTGCTCCACCCCACAGGTTCCACCGGGTTCTTTCGGGTTCCCGGTACCTGGCCTCCTGCTCGAATTCTCAGTCACTTCGCCTTCTTCCCGGCCCCACCTCGACTCTCAGTAACTTTAAGTGACCCGGGAGCGGCCCGATTCCCCATTTCGGGAACCTTAGATTACCTGTGGCCCTCGCACATTTCCCGCATCTCCATCGCTTCTTTGTCCCACCCCTCCAGGCCATGTGCCCCGCCCCCGCCGGACCCGCCCCCACGGCCACACCTTGAACTCAGCGATGGTGAGGCTACGACTGTACCGCTTCTCAGAGCGAAAGCTGTTGAGGGTGCTGCTGATGAATACAGTCACTGTGGGCGCCGAGATCCCGGTCACCTCCATCTCTCGCGCCTCCCGGGGCTCCCCGGCCAGCTTAGCCGCCTCACACCGGCTCCGCAGCTGCAGGCCGTCGCTTCCAGGCCGTCAGCTCCTCCCCCTGGCCAATCTGGCCAATCCGCGCTCTCCCGCGAGGATGATCAGCCAATCGCCGCCGCCCGGAAGAGCGCCTTGCCGTTTCCGTGGGTGGGCCCAGCCAATCCCGGGAGGCCTTCCAAGGCTCACTGTTCTCCAATCGCAGCCCAGGAAGGGACCTGGGCCGGCGGAGGCTGGAACCCAGCCGGAGGCCTGGCAAGCGCTCTCCTCGCCCTGCCCCGTTAGCTTGGCGCGTGTGCACCGCCCTGGCGCCAAGAGCACGGCTTCCTGCACACGCATCACGTAGGGCTTGGCCGGCTTTGGGACCAGAGTCATGCTAGTCCATAAACTGGGCAAGCGAGGCCGAGATAAAGAAGGAATTACTCTAGTATGCCAAGAGGCCGAAGCAAGTAATTAACTAGCCTCCGCTGGGAACTTACTGGGAAGCTCCGCCCCCTTTGGCGAAGCCACGGAGTCTGCGCCTTCCCGCGACCCGTAGCGCGTCGGAGCAGGCGCAGAAGGGCGGGGCGGGCCGCGCGTGCGTTACTATGGAGCCGGATGGTACTTATGAGCCGGGTTTCGTGGGCATTCGGTTCTGTCAGGAATGGTAAGGCCGGGGGAGTGGTAGCGGGAAGGGAGCCGGAACGACCCCAGGTCTGAACTTTGACCTCTCCCCCTGCGCAGTAACAACATGCTGTATCCCAAGGAAGACAAAGAGAATCGCATTCTACTTTACGCGGTTAGTGCGAGCCCTCGGACGGCCCCCGCTGCCCGGCCTGCGCCCTTCCGTCCGCCCCCCGGTCCGCCCCCCGCACGTGTGGGCTTTGTGTGTGGCCCTCCTCCACGGAAGCCGATGCTCCTGCCTCACCCATCCCGAGGGGACCCTGCACGCACGGGGCGGACGCTGGCCTGGCTTCCGCCCCGCCGTCAGTCACCCCACCTTCCCGCCACTTCCCCCCCTAGTGCCGGAACTGCGACTACCAGCAAGAGGCCGACAACAGCTGCATCTACGTCAACAAGATCACGCACGAAGTGGAGTGAGTGGCATAAGGGGGTGCACCGGAGGGTGCGGGGGCGGCGTCTTTGGGAGGCTCGGGAACCTGAACCTGACCCCCACCCTACTTGCACAGTGAACTGACCCAGATCATCGCCGACGTGTCCCAGGACCCTACGCTGCCCCGGACCGAGGACCACCCGTGCCAGAAGTGAGGCCGGGCCGGGCTTGGGATGGGGCCTGGAGGCTGGGAAGGGCGCCGGCGCTGAAAGGTAAACCTGTGCCTCCAGGTGTGGCCACAAGGAGGCGGTGTTTTTCCAGTCGCACAGCGCCCGGGCCGAGGTGAGTGGCATCTGCCCAGGGTTTGCCCCCCCTCCCCGTGGGATACTAGGGTTGGTACCCGGTCCTTCCAATTCAAGCCCCCTGGTCCTGCCTTGGCCCAGTATGAAAGGCCCTGCTTTCTAACATTTGAAGGAGGGAGGGGTCGTAGGGAGGACTCCCCAGTGGGGTGCTAACTGAACCCCCCCTCCAGGACGCTATGCGACTCTACTACGTGTGCACAGCCCCACACTGCGGTCACCGCTGGACTGAGTGAGCCTTGCCACCTCCACTACCCCCCTCCCCGAGTGTTAGATAATAGAGCCGGTTTCTGTGAGTACGTTTCTTGTGTTTATTTGCCCCTGTTGCAGCGGCCCGCAGGTGTACCGGCTCATGCCAGGCGGTGCAGGCCGCGGTGCTGGGCGTAGGCGTCGGGTCTCGAGCTGGTGAAGCCACAGTCTTCACACACGTGTAGCTTCTCGCGCCGCTCGCGGTAGGCGTAGCTGGCCGGCTGCCCGTGCACCTTGGCCAGATGGGCCTCTAGCGAGCAGCGCTGCGTAAATGCTTTGCCACAGGCGCCACAGCGGAATGGCCGGATCCCTGTCCAGTGGGGCAGGTGGTGACAGGACGGTCAGAAACTGCCTCCAATTCCAAGCTGCCCCACCTTGCTAATCCAAGTCAGGCCGCCAAATATTCTGAGTCCCCTCCCAGATGAGTCTGAATCGACTTGGTGGCAGTGGTTTTTATTTTTTTGCTTCCACCTGCTACCTGAAGAAACCTGTGCCCCAGCCCCTGCCCCATGGCAGGTCTCCTTCCTACCTGGAAATCTGATCTGAACCCAGTGACCAGCAGTTTCAACACTTCCCTCCCTCCTCAGGGCAAGCTCTGCCTCTGCCCTGGGGGCCTCCTTACACCACCAGCTGGGCGTTCGGGGATACCGGGTCCCACAGCTCATGTTGGCTGTGTCTGTGCCCAGTTTACGGCAACTCTGGGAACTCCGTATCCCCAAGCACTCCCCATCCATCCATTTGAGTCTGCCCCACCTGGGGCTTCGCAGCCCTTCCTTGCCCCCGCTCACCTGTGTGTGTCCTCATATGGCGCTTGAGATCGAAGGCATCATGGAAGCCCTTGCTGCAGTAGTGACACACGTGGCGGCGCGCCGGGCTGTGACACTTGAGGTGCCGGGTCAGCATGCGCTGCAGCGGGAAAGCCTTGGGGCACAGCGGACAGTCAAGAGCCCGGGGGGCCTTGGGAGCTGGAGTCACAGTGCCCTGTGTGGGCTGTGGGGGAAGGAACATGCCCGGTTAGCCCCTCTGCCACCCCTGCCCCTGTACCCCACCCTGTCCGGTTCTCCACAGATCAGGGCAGTCTGGTGAGGATCTTGGTGTGCAAGTGCCACCTGTAGGGGCTTCCTGGACTGTCCCCGTCCCCCTGGCCAATGCATTTTGTTCTCTCTCCTCCCCTCCTCACTAGTGTGTTGTTCAAGAAAGGCTGGGGGTTTGTCTTGTATGCTAAGTACCCAGTCAGTAAACAGCGTCATGATGGCAAGCACCGGTGTGCTGGAAGGGCTCCTTTCCCTCCCCTCATTCCTGGTCCCGCATCAGGTCTTCTGACAAGCCAGTCACTTGGCTTGAGTCCTGTTCTTCTGCCCTGGGGAAATGGTGCTTGGGATGGGACTTCAGATCTCCGCATGTGCTCACTACTAAGGGAAGACAGTCTGGCAAAAGGGGCTCATGGATGGAAAGGCCCTGAGACAAGAGGGCATGCCCCAATCAACTCTTTAAGAGCACATGGGGGGGGGGGGCCCTAAGGCAGCGGTTCTCAACCTGTGGGTCTCGACTCCTTTGGGGGGTGTTGTCGAACGACCATTTCACAGGGGTCGCCTAATACATCCTACACATCAGATATTTACATTACGATTCATAACAGTAGCAAACTTACAGTTATGAAGTAGCAACGAAAATAACTTTATGGTTGGGGGGGTCACCATAACATGAACTGTATTAAAGGGTCTCGGCATTAGGAAGGTTGAGAACCAGTGCCCTAAGGCAAGAGGGCATGTCCCAATCAACCCTAAGCATAGGTGGTCCACTGTGAGCAAGGGTGAAACAGCGGGGTGCTATGGGCCCCTTGCAGACTCACCGCTGCCCAGGAGTCCCCACGGCTGGAAGCCTGGTGTGCTGGGCGTCCTCCCAGGCTGCTGCAGTCTGAGGAGAGAAGCCAGATCATCATCATGAGACTGAGCATGGCATCAGGCCCACGCCCCTGGCCCAGCGAGGGACCCACCTGGGACATAGTCATCTCCCCGGAGCTGGTCAGGCAGGTGACCCCAGTTGGGTGGCTGTGGACGCCGACTCCTGACTAGAAAGGCACGGGGCATTGCCTCCAGGAAGGGTGAGCTGGCTCCCAGCACACATGGGCTCCTGCCACCACCTGCTACTGGACCTCAGCCCTGGACAGCTTATTCCTGCTGGGGAGGGAGGGGGGGCTGCATGGAGGAGCCTCCTTCCCTATGCAAATCCGGTGACAAGCTAGGAAGCCAACTTAACTGGCTCCCCTCACTTTGTGGTGGGGCCATCCTTCACCCCTCCTGCCCCAGGGGTCTGAGGACAGCCTTTGCTGCCCCTCCCGGTCAGGAGGATGGCAAGGTTTAGACAAGAGGGGCCTCAGCAGCTTTTGAAGGGTGAGGCCAGGAGCCTGGGTCCCCTGGGAGCCCCCGTTGACCCCCATGTAACTGGCAAGGCAGAGGAGCTGCGTGTTTGGCAGGCAAATGAGACCACCTGACATCCAACGGCCAGGGAGTGTGCGCCGGCCAGCCTGCCTGCCTATTCAAATCACAGCAGCTGTCTGGAAGCCAGGGCGGCAGGAGTGGCAGTGATTGCCCTGTTCAGTGTGGCGGGAGCTCAGGGGCCCATAGAGCCAGGTTTCAGGCTGTGCAGCCTTGGGCAGGATCCTCTGCTCTGGTCTTCAGATAACCTGAGTGCAGTGTTGAGGTGTGGTGGGTATTCAAACTCTTAACTGTTAATACTGCATACCTAGTGGTTTCCTGGAGGTCCCCCGCACCCTACTATCCTACTATCGCCCAGAAACTTTAGGGGGTCCTAGGACCCTGCCCCAGCACTCTGGCCAGGCACAATCAGGCATTAAGGGTTTTGGATATTCCCTATGCCATTAACATACTTCATTGATTCACCTAACAATTTTCTGAACTCCAGCTGTGGGCCAGGCATAGGCTCGAAGAGGCAAGATGGACAGTGGCCACCTCTGGGTTCTGGGTGGCTTCCTGGGTGTGAGCCTGGACGAGGGGAGGGGGGTTTGAGTGAAGGCATGGAGGATGTGTTCCAGGCAGAGGGCATAGTTCTACAAAGGGTTGTTGGTGGTGTAAGCATAGTTCAGTATTCGTACGAGTGCCCTCGGGGAAGCCACAGGCTCTAGTGCCCCAGGTGTCTTGCCCAGAGAGCTTGGCTTGTTTTGCCTCAGCAGGAGGGCCTGGGCACTCTTACTCACCCACCAAGCCTCAGTTTCTTCATCTGGAAAATAAGTGGGCATGTGGTCTGGGGTGGTTAGGACGTCTTCAGGGGTGGGCCACTTCGACTAGCAGCTGAGCCTCCATTGGCCCATCTGTGATGGGGCGCTCCAACAGCGTCAGCTCCCAAGGTGGTTGGATTTCACGTGGTCCCAAAGCGTCGTCATGCTCAGGACCTGGGCTTGTGAGGGCCGCCCGCGGTGGTGAGGTGTGCAGTGCAGGCAGGCAGTACTGGGAAGAAGCGGCTTACACACAGGTTATGCGCCAGCTGCTCTTCTCCAGTGCCCAGTTCTCCTTGCCCACCCTGCAACATCTCTTCTCAGTGTGGGCTGCTGAAAACACGCCAGGGGAGATGGGGTGCTAGGTATGGGCACTCTGTGGGCTGCCCTGCCAGGCTCAGGCAGGCAGCTGCAGCACCGGGCTCTTTGGGAACTCCACAGCCCTGGAGGGTGGAAGGGGAGTAGGGTCAGGGTTTTGATTCCCCCAATGCCCTCCATGTGGGGTCGCCAGGGGCTGGCTGTCTCCTTCATAAGGGCCTAGCTTTCCACAGGGCAACCTCAGCTTGCTCCCCTGGGTTTGTTCCCTGGTGCCTCACATCCTGGGCACAGCAAGGCTCCAGGGGCCTGCCCCAGCCCTTGCAGTGTCCCTCTCCTTGCCCCCACCAGTGCAAAGGGTCCCTTTGCTCAGCCTGTCCTGAGAGAACGTGAGCAACCTTTTTCCCACTGGGTCGGTCCCTCTTGGTGTGCATACCTGTATCCCCCTACCCCAACACCTCCTCACCAGCAGGAGTTTCTCAACTAACCGATTTGCATAGAGAGGAGGAAGTCTGGTTCTCCCAAGGCTCAATTTTGTTGGAGCTGTAACGTGTCCAGGACAGGGGGACGGAAAGTTAGTCTCCGCTCCTGTTGCCTGAGACCGGGCTATGACCCAGCAGGATCTGCACCCCCATCTCCTGGTGGCCTTTGCCCCGGGACAACTGCTGGGTGCTGCAACAGCCAGTGCTACAGCTGTGACTCAGGGAGATCACAAGTGACCTTACTTTCTGGGGAACCCTAAAGACTGGTCTGCAGGTCATACCCACCAGCGGCTCCCTAGGAAGACGAGGTTCTGCTCTGGAGTGACAGCCTGGGAGAGTGGGTCTCTGCTCTGTAAGGTCGTGAAGTTGCCTTGGACTTAATGGCAGCGGGTTTGGGTTTTACTGCATGGGGGCTTGGCCCCCAGAAGCCGTGTTTGTCATTTGGAGACGAAGCTTTATGACATAGGCCAGAAGTCCTAGGTTGGTCTCTAGGGTGTCCTAGGTACCAGACAGCAAATCCTGCCTTTGGGGGGCCTTGGATGAGGTAGCTTCAATGCATCTAATTAATATGGCCCTTCTAGCCATGGTCTTTTATGGTTCCTAAGTAATGATTGGGTCTGACTATGCAAATAAGGTGCTTGTAGCCCACCATAAGGATTGGACCATTGGCAGCTAATGCAAACGAAATGTGGCACCTATGATGGTGAAAGCCCTGGGCCAGGATTTTGATCGGGCTATAACTCAGTGGTTTCAGGAGCATCACTCCTCCCCTTTGCCTGTGGTTATGGCCCCATTTGGGAGTGAGTTGTCCCTACAGTAGAGGCAGGATTAGGGTGGGATGTGTCTGGAATCATGACCTCACACAAGTCACTATCCTTAATGCAGTTATGCCCTTACCTTCCTTATTCAAGTCACACTTGTGTCACCTGTGCCCAGTATAGGACAAAACTTCAAAGAAGTTTGTGGAAGAATGGGGTTCAAAGGTAACATGTGACTCCCATGCAGCCTTTGAAGCTTCCTTGCACATATGAGTGCTCTGGCAAAATTCACGTTCCTGCTTTACATTCAGCACCTGCTTCCGCTTCATCTGACCTGGTGCTCGAGCCAGTAAGCAGTCTGTTGCCTGATTTACTAGCCTCCACAGCCATGTGAGACAGTAGCCTCTTGTCTGATCTGCTGAATCGAGTTCCTTGGCCCCTGCATCTTTCTAAGTCAGGAGAAGCCACGAGGTGGATGCCTGACCCACAGATTTGGGACCAACCACCTCCACAACCACACGAGCCTTGACAGCTTAGTTCAGAGATGTTGCAGCAAATCACAGACCCAGTCAGGAGGGTGTGCACTGAGGGGAGGACGAGCTGACATTAGAGATGTCAGTAGGGCTGCCGGTTGGGAGAGTGGGACATTGAGGATACCTTTAGCTCCAGCCTCATAGGAGCCAGCTTTTGTGCTGAGCCTTTTAGAAGAAAGTGTTTAGTGGCCAAGCTAGGCAGAAGCAAAAGGAGCGAGGGCTTCAGGATTGACTTGGGGTGGTGGTTGAGGGGAGGGTGGGGAGATAGGGAGCCTCCCAGCAAAGGTTCAACCATTCTGGACTCTCCGGGCTTCCCAAGGAAGGGTGGGGAGCCTTGAGGATCAACTAGCAGTGGACAGATGCCAAGAGATTTCATGTCATAGAGTAAATCGTTCTTGTGAATGTTTTTGGAGTTGTCATGAAACAAGATTCTGCTCTTTGTGGCTCCTCCTATTGCCCTTCCCTCCCCATTCCTGCCTTTCTGCCTAATCATGTTGAGTTCCCCCACAGCTCGATGGAGCCACGAGCAAGACACCCCACAGCTCGATGGAGCCATGAGCAAGACACCCCACAGCTCGATGGAGCCATGAGCAAGACACCCCACAGCTCGATGGAGCCATGAGCAAGACACCCCACAGCTCGATGGAGCCACGAGCAAGACACGGGATTTCTTTGGGGCCGGTTTCTGATGGAACTGGAGGCATGGAGGGTCTAGGTCACAGCAAGCCCTATGGTAGGGCTGTACTTGTGGCCACATGATGCCTTCCTTTTCATAGGGACTTGGAATAAAGGGGGCTTTTGTGGTCCTGAGGACCCTTCTTGGCAGATACAGCACTTGGCCCGGGAGAGCTGGGTCCAGGCTGAGAGGTTCTGGATGTTGTCTCAGGCACAGTTCTGCTGCGGGGTTATTCCAGTGGGCTAGGCAGCCCAGTGGGTAAGCCTGTTTGGCTTTCCTATTTACTCTGATGCAGCGAGGAGAACAATAACCTGGGCCACGTAGCTTCAGCAGGGCCCCATGCCAGTGCTACAATGACACACTGGGTCACCCGCTGGGTGACTGTTGTCCCTGGGGGCTCTTGGGCATTAGGGGTGGGGAAGTAGGGTGGCCAAGCCCCTCCCTAGAACAGAGTGGAGCTTCACTGGATAAGCCCCGCGTGGCCCTCCATGATCCCCTCCCTGGGCCAGCGATCAGGAATTTGGGAGCCACAGCCCTGGGGTTGTTGTTTCTGCCCCCCAACTTCTTGGGGCAGTTGGTCCCACCTTCGCCACTTTGGAGTCCTGGAACAGGGACAGACCCAGACACTCCCAACAGTCCTACTTGCGCATCACCCACCCTGCATCCACCGCCAGGAATGGTTCCCCTAAGCTGTCCATTTATTTGTGGAAAATACATCATCTCGTCAGGGCCAGGACTGCGGGGGCAGGGCACTGCCAGCCGTCAGTCCAACCCTGCCCCTGCCCTCCTCCGCACGGCCTGCACCAACAGCTCCGAGTAGTGTTCCAGCAGGGCCTGCAAATGTGGGCTGGCCAGAGGGCAGAGTGTAGGTGGGGAGGCGGAGTCTGGGCTGGCCAGGGGCAGGGGCAGGGCCTGTGGGGGGGGCATCTCCGGCCCGCCCAGCCAGCTGGCCTCCAGCTGCTGTTGGATCCAGAGGAAGGTGGACGCCAGTGCCGTCTGGGCCTGCTGCTGCTCGGGGCTGACCTGGCCACTGGAGACCACCTGCGAGGGATGCCGGCACTGTCAGGGGCCACCCAGGCTGGGCCCATCCAGCCCGGCCGGACCTCCAGGCTCAGCTTACCACCAGGTAGAGGTCGAGGGCCTCTTGAAAGGCAGTCTGCAGCCTGTGCACGACGGGCCCCACACTGCTCAGTTCCAGGGAGGCTGGAGGCTGGCTTCCCACTGGCACGTCGCCCTCCTCCCAGGGTCCAGGGCTGCTGAGCGCCTCTGGGGGCAAAGGGAGGAGCTGTGATGAGGGGCCTCCACATGCCACCTGGTCTGCAAGACCCCAGCTTCCCTCTGCTGGAGCACCTCACAAGGCCCCTCCCCAGCCCCCCCTCTGCTCCTCAGGTCCACGATCCCCCAAGCCCTTTCTCACACATCTGGTACAAGGCGGCAGCCACTGCCCCACCTCTCAGCCTGCACTCTTGCTCCCCTCCACTTTCTCTCCTAAGCACAAACACTTTGTGGCTAGATTTCTGTCTGGATGTCAGCCCCAATTAAAGATTGCAACCCCGGGAGGTGGGTGTGTGTCGGGGCACACGCTTCGGGGCGCTTGTTCACCGCTAGTCCGCCCCATGTCTGGAGGGCCTAGAACAAAGCCCAATGTGCACAGAACCCAGGTCCGCTGCCATCGAGCTCGTTCCAGAGGGCAGGGCAGAGCTGGCCCTGTGGGATTCGGAGGCTGTCCTTCATGGGAGCAGAAACCTGGTGGGTTTGAACTGCTGACCTTGGGGGTGGCAAACGGATGGACGTGTAGCCACTGGGCCACCTCACTGGAGTGTTCAAGGGCACATTTGTTCAGGACCAGTGTCTACCCCAAGCTGGCCCAAGTAGTGTATGATACGAGCTTAGAGGACAGTATCTCCTGGGGGTGGGGGTAGGGGAGGAGCGGGTAACTCACCGGGGGCAGGCTCCGGAATGGAGGCAGGGTTTCCAGGGATTCCCGGCCTGCTCTCTGGAAGCTGGGAGCTACTGGGGTGGGGGGGAAGGTCGAGGGGCTCAGGGGCAGGGATTCTGGGGCGAAAGGAGGCATCTTGAAGCCCGAGGGCACACGTGTTCACAGGGCTGGGGGGCAGGACGCTGGCTGCCGGGGCTGCAGCGCAGGGTGGGGTGGATGTCTCCAGTGGAGGTGAGGACAGCCGGAACCTGTCACAAATGCTGGAGGACAGGGTCAGTCTCAGGCTGGCACGGGCCTCGTGGTTGCCCCAGGAGTGCTCTTGGCACTCGCCATCAGCCCTGGGTGCTACCGTAGTGGTGAGGCCCTGGAGCTCGTGGCCCAGGGATGCCAGCTCCCCTGTGGAGGGGGGCCTGCCGAGGGGCCTGGTCTGCTCCCGGAGGGAAGGGCTGTGCGACATCTTCGCAGGGCAGTTGGCAGTGGCTTCCAGGTAGGAGTGGGTACAGGGAACGCAGACACCTTGACCCAGGACTGGGGTGGGTACAGAAGAGGGCGATAGGGGCTTCTTGTCTGTGGGCAGCACTGATGAGGTGGGGACACAGGGCTCCAGGCCCAAGGGGCACAGGGCTGTAAAGAAAAGAGAGCTCAGTCGTCTCACACTCTGGGCATGTGGGGTGGGGCACTGCCCAGCTGGGCACCCAGAGCCCCTGCTGTGACTCACTCAGAGGACGCCAGGCCTCCAGGGTCTCTTGGCGTCCCTCCGTCTCCTCCCCAGGGGGGACCTGCAGGCACAGGGCTGAGGTGAGGAGGAGGCCTCCGGGCCAGCAGCCCTGTCCCGAGGTGGGCGGCCCCGATACGATACAATACTCACGTTAGTCTGCTCTGCGGATGTGTAGCTAGTACCTGCTCTCAGGAACGCTGTGCCGGGTAGGCTGCCCTCCTGGCGCAGGGGCAGTCGGGGAGGAAAGGTGTGGGTGAACCTGTGAGGAGAGAGCCTGTGGGGGAGGGACACTCGCTCAGCCAGCCCTGGGTCATGGCTGGGAGACGCACCACTGCCCCCCTCCCGTTGGGGTACGGGACGGGCTCCTTAGACCCACCTGCGTGTCTTCTGTAGGCTGGAGAGGAACTGGGCCGAGATGCTCAGCCGGGGATTCAGGAAGAAGTCTTCAGCCTCCGAGGCCTTCACGTCTCTCAGGGGTCTGTGGAAGAGCTCTAGGGAAAGACGAGAGCCCTCAGAGCCCCCCGACAGCCTGCCCAAGACTCACGCCAGCCACCAGGCAGGCTCCCAGAGGGCCTCTGCCGCAGACAGACAGTGGGGAACTGTGCAGCTGGGTCCAGAAGGCAGAAAGGTGTGCCCTTCCACCCTCACTTGTCTGCCGGGGAGTCACGTGACCCCAGGGACGCCCACGCTGTGTCACCTGGGGTGAGCCCAGAGAGGAGCAGGGCCTACCCTCAGGGTGGCCGTCGGCCAGTGTCTCAAAGTGGTGCCGGAGGAACTTCTCCTGCTCGGGGGTCTGGGGCAGGGAGCTGTGGGGTAGGCCTGGCGCTTCGGGCAGGGGCAGCTCCTCTGCCATACCCTGGCGTCCTGTGGGTGGAGGAGGGAGGGGAGGACAGGACAGAAGCTGCCAACACCATGAGTCATGGAGATGCCACTCTCGACGGTGGTGAGCTGGGCCCGCCTGCCCCACACCCTGAGGACAGGCTGGGCTTCCAGGGAAGTAGGGGTGCTCAGTGAAGGCCAAGCTGGGGTTGATGTGCACAGAGCCTGCGGTTAGAAATGCGACCCCCCCCCC